CCTCCTCCTCCTCCTCCTCCTCCTCCTGTGTATCTTGATCATTGTCCTCCTCCTCCTGTGTATCTTGATCCCGTCCTCCTCCTCCTCCACCTCCTCCTCCTCCTCCTCCTCCTCCTTTCCTCCTCCTCCTCCTCCTAATTTTATGTTTGAGTCTCCCACACGACTAACATACTTCTAGTTTTATTTACATTTATTATTATTATTTGCTGTTGTTACACCACGTGTCAACATCTGAAAGTTATTCCTTTAGTTTACCCCGTATATCAGATATGGATGACCCAGTGTAAGATAATGTGGAGTCATCAGAATACAAGTCTGTTACATGCACTATAATGATATGGTATTTTTTATTACTTTATTTTAAACGTTCACATTAAATATTTAGTAATTAGGTAGGTAAATTTTTATCAGTGGTTGATGGGTTCATTTAGCTCAAATATTTTTATTACAAATGTTCCTTAAATTTATGAACTTTTTTTTTTTTTTTAATGAACTTTTTTCTTAATTATTTGAAGTTTTGCTTCTTTCTCCACAAATATTTGGACAAAAGAACACATCACATAGTTCTTAACAATAATACATGTCACATGTTTACCGTAACTGAATTAGATACATACAGCTATCGAGATTTTGCACAAGAATCTTTCATCCTGACTTTATTTTGCAATTAAGTGTAATTAATATATTTTTGTTCGGGTTGCAATAAACATACTGTTTTTATTCAAATTGGAATTGAATGAATAATGATTACTTTTCGTATACCTATTAGTTAATCATACGTTCCTATTTAGATATTGTCGGAGTATAAGATATAATTATTTATAATCCATTTGAGCACCCCGTCAACGTAAACGTTTTATGTAAACGATGAACGGTTAATTTCTTAACCTTCCAAAATACTTATTTTATGACTTATATGTATAGTATGACCAATTTTTATTTTACAAGCTAATGTATTGTATCTGCGAGTAAACATAATTAATATGTATCATATAATGTAAATATATACTTTATTTTATGTGTAGAAAATTATGTTTGTACATTTCATTTAATGTTTTAAGCATATACACATTTAATATGTATCAGATAATGTATAGATATGAATTATTTGTTACGTTAACGATTTTGTAAAGTGTATGTTTTATAATTATATCATTATATTGATCCATTGTATTTTATAATACAAAATATTATATATACCTACAGTAAATATTCATAACACTGTATGGTTAATACTTATTTGATAACTTGATTCAAATGGTTTGGCATAACATGTTCTAGTAAAGAGTTATCTATAGAAGAAGTTGCACATGGATCAAAGTGACTTGATATTTAATTCATCCTTTAAGGTTTTTGTATATCTCACATGGTGTCTGCATACATGCTATATGCTGTGACTTTTTATTTTATATAAAGGTTTCCTATCTTATCTAGATGACATGAAGCTACAAACAAGAGCATACGCTCTTAATGTACCAGATGCTCATAGCGTGTTTTATCTACCTGGCGGATGTCGCGAGAAGATGTGCTCTTATTAGCTGTGGAGAGGATATATAGACAGTTATGCTTCAGTGAATTTTTATACCCGGGTTGAACATTATAATGAAATTGGGTACCTGATAGAAATGCCATTTATCGCGATATCTCATCTGTCTCCCCATGTTTCGGTGTAAGGGGAATTTGCAACCCGCCAGGAAATACCTGTGAAAGGAAGAATTTGAATATGAAAATAATTCTTCCAGCTATTCCGTCTTTGCGTATTGCAGAGAAGATAACTCTGCAATACGCAAAGACGGAATTCATTGTAATTCCTCATGTTGAAATATATTGCCTTCTGCCACGTATATTGGTATACTTATGTTTATTCTATATTAGAATGTACAGCATCAGAACAGATAAGTCAGTGCTTTTGTTCGATATACTTACATGCTTGATAAGTTATACTTACAGCTAGCTGTCGGTTATATCAGCTTGTATAGCATTGTCCTCTTGTTAAAATTAATAGAAAGTCTCGTCATTTCGGTTATAGTCAGTCAATGGAAAAACACTGGTAATACTGATGTAAGAAACAAAGAGGCCAACATCCAAAGTAAGCGAGTTTCCCTGTTTAATGTACACGTTTAGACATATGGCTTGCCAAGTAAAGGGAAATATACAAATGGAGATATATACCAAAGCGTCAACACGCAAACACAAAACATACCTCATCATCAATTACACAATCACACAGCACAAACCACAGCGTTAGCGCTCAATGGACAAATAAATTATCAAAAATCGATTGTTAACCTCTTGTACGAATCATTTAAGTATTATTTATAAGAAATGACGTGAAATTAATGCAGATATATGTACTGCAAATTAATTAATTCAAATACTTGGTCTTAACTAGTAAGTATACATGCGTGTATGTGAACTAGTAGTTGAACCAACCTCTAACGAAATCATTCAGAGTAGTAAATGATCTCACAGAGGTGAACAATGAACGATCCTTTTTAATAACTATGAATACATTATCATATACAAAATGAAGAACGTTGCTATTCTGAATGATAAATTGTGCTATTTTGTATATGAAAATGTATTTCTAGTTATCAAAACGTGTCTTAGTTATTAACCTTTATGTGATAATTTGCTATTCTGATTGAGCAAATTTACTAAGCTTATTAAATATTATATAAATTAGTAGATTATCTCATAAAGATTAGCATATCTCATAAAGATTAGAATATCTCATAAAGCTCATCTCATAAAGATTAGCATATCTCATAAAGATTAGCATATCTCATAAAGTCAAGAGTAACAATTCATAAAGACAGTCATAATTTCGCATAAGAACTAGCATTCTATCTCATAAAATCTAGCATATTATCGCATTAACACATGGAACATTCATAATAGCGTATATAGTTTATCCCCTATAACTAGTCATGTTCTGGACAAATAATGGTCAAAACAACTTAATTTGTTATTATTTGAATTTCATTTTTTTTGCTATATTCCATTTTAAACATGTTTTTTTTTATTTATTAAGTAAAGCTTATACAAACGTTTGCACACTCGTATACATTCATTGCTACACGTATGTCACACTTTACGTTCAGTGAATGGTATTGATGATACGAACATCTACAAGTCTACGTTTACTGACTGTACACGGTGTTGTTTATATTCATTTACACATAAATGTATACACATGTACATATCAACACGCGGTTTTGTTTACACGGACCTAACGCTCTGGGCGAAAATAGACTCGACACCGCTGACCCAGAAAAAATTACGCTGGTTTTGTTGTGTGAAAATATATAGATCCCTCACTTACCTGAAGTGGAGTGCAGCTTCATACATCGTCAAGAAAGACTTTTTACAAAATGGCTGGAGATAAAATGAAACTTTACTGGATTTCTGGAAGCACGCCCTGTTGGAGAGTACTGATAGTACTTGAAGAGAAGTGCCTTCAAAATTACAAACAGAAACAGGTGGACTTCGTGAAACAGGAGCAGAAGGGTGAAGAGATCGTCAGCCGTAACCCCAGAGGGCAGGTAAGATAAGGGTACAAGTGTGAACGGGAGGTTAACTATACGAAGGCATAATGAACTACAGACATTGAAAACATTACTTCTGTTCAAAAATCAATGAACAGTTTATATGTTTGAATATCACGGTATGAGCGAATACGAAAGTAGACTTTAAGAGGGTATTAAGTTCCCGCTATAAAGACCGATACGTTTGCGTGATATTTTTTAGTGGAATTATTTTACATCAGTATGGAATTAACAAGGTACAATTAATATTATGCTTTATAACATTTTATAAAAAACATGAGCCCCATCTTCATCGAAATATATCAAACAGAGCGGTAGATAGAAATGCCTACCTGAGCATGAGCCGGGATGCAATATTAAGCGTTTATATATATATCCGTTTACATGTAAATCAAGATACCAGCGTTTGCTTTACCCAGAAAACATGTCATAAATCTTTCTTATTTCTTAAACTTATATTCGCCTTTTCATATATTATTATCAATTAATATGTCAAAAGGACAGGTAAAAATGTGTTTTTTTGTTAGATATAGGAGTTCTGATGATAATAACTACATTGAAAATACTATCGGACAGATGATATTTTCATATGCCCATATTTACAAAAAAANATCCCCAAATTTAAAAAAAAAAAAAAAAAAAAAAAAAAATCAGCTTCTTTCAAATGAAGAAGCTAAGCTGTCGTCTTCATTTGAATATCAAAATTTGTTTAAAATTGGAAAAAAAATGTCTTATGATTTACTTGGTGTGCTTGTAACCACTAACGTCCTATGACAACGTTGTCCGCACATGTAGGGGCCCACTCAAGGGCCGTTTTATAATACTGTCTCATTAAAAATATCATCAACAAGATACGAAAGTATGATATCCCACCTGATCACACTGCACACCAGATATGCCTAAGGTGAAATAGCAGAAGAAAAGATGACGAAAAAGAAAAAAAACAAAGTCCCAAGTGTAACAGATAAATGATATCCTTCTTAGTGTCGCTAGTGTCAGAAGAAAATCTCGGTTCTAAAGGAAGTCTGGGATCCCATATTGGTTTCAATTTACGATCATGTAATTGCATGCAGCAGGCCAATTATTTGTAGCGTCCTCGAGAGCCTACAGAGACAGAAGATTACTACTATAAGTGGGATCTCCGACTTGTGACATTATACATGACCAAGAAATTAAAACGTGCATTGAAGGCTTCTCAACCCGTAACCAGGCAACTGTAGTGTTATTAGGAGAAAAGCATGCCCGATACTGAATTATCCTCAAATCATGAGTTGTGTAATTATAGAGGATTATGACACAGGATATCTACAAACTAACTAATATATTTTATTTTATAGTACATGCAAGTGTAAAAGTGAAGATAATTCGGATACTTAACATTCGATATTTACGATTGACAGTTCACCACGTTTCGTCGTCCATCTTGTTGTTTTCACATTCGGAACCTAGCTACGTAAGCGGAAGTGTTCCGAGTAGCTTTTGCGCGACTATTGCACGTGCAAAGTGCCGCGTTTCTGTCTATATAAAGCGGTGGTTTTGTATAGTTCGTCAGTCAGAAGTAAAGTCCTCATAAGACTGCCTGACTCGCTCTTTATCTCCTTCTTTCTAGGACTCGTTAGGTAATAATGTAGGGACAGCAATAATGTTTAGTGTTAGGGTTAGAAAGTAGTCTGTACATATGTCTATATAGAATTCCAACGTAGAGTCCGTCGTCTATGCTTATAGGAGTAGGCCTCGTAGCCGCTAGTATTAATGAACGGTGTTCTATAGTGTGAGTAAGGGTGTGAGATATGTTATCGTGTATTGTACTGATATTTCTTTACACTTGTTGTGTTTAATAAAAGATATTGAAGTTTATATCCTTGAGTCTATGTTCATTTGCCATACTTCATGTTCATCAATTTATAAGACCCCAATAGACCCAAGATCACCGAACCTGGGTGTTGGTTTTAAAGTGGAAAACCGCTCCTTTTACATTGGTGCCGTGACCAGGATCTTGGCAACCCATTTGCGGCATTTTTGAATTTTGTGTGAAAAAAAATGTAGAATTTGAATTTGAAGTAATGGCGAATGAACGTGATTCAGCTGTGTTTACTAGGAGTAAAGGTTCAAGGTATCTTGTAGATTCTGGATCAGCTGTAACATAGTTACTAAGGAAATGTGTAATGCTATGCTAGAGGGTAATAGACCAGAATTAACAAGCAGTGGTATCATGGTGTACTCTGCCTCGGGTGACAAGTTAGTGGTGGCTGGTAAAGTCAACTTTAGATTTAAAGTGGGCAAATTAGTGTACGAACAGGAGGCTATAGTGGCTAGGTTGGACCAATTATCAGGGATTCTAGGTGTTGATTTCCTGGGTAAACATGGAGGAGAAATCCATTTTAGGGACAGGACTCTTAGGTTAGAGGGTCAGTGTGTCAACCTAGTTACAGAAGGGTACAAAGGGTGTGCCCGAATAAGGGTGTGTGAGACTGTCTCCGTACCAGCTAACTCTGAGTGTCATTTTAAGGGTTATATATAAGGTGCTATAGATAGTGCAGAGGGTATTGTAAAACCAAATACATTCATAGCTAAACAGGGACTAATGGTGGTTAGTGTGCTACGTAGACGCCACCAGGAAAAGAGATCAATCTCTCTGTTTTGAACCTTAGTACTAAAAGTGTCAAGTTGCAAAAACGACAATAGTAGTCCAGGGGAGATAACTCCGCAGCAAACTAGAGAAGACATGATGATAAAGTCTCCACCCAGATACTGTTCATAGAATCTTGAAGTAAAAACACAGAAAGATAGATTAGTGTTGTATTACATTTATTCTGTGTTGCACAAAGTACAAATGTGATCAGTGTGATCCATATCCTGATATAACAAGTATGTACTTCCGTTTAAAGATGTTTTCCTTGTGTTGCTTGCACTGGTACAGCTTAAAAGACTTTATAATTAGGATATATTTTGATCTGCAGTTACAGAAACTGGGTACTATGGGTAGTATGCCATTTGGTGTTGATTCTGTGTATATTGTTTGTGTAGATATACATAGGGAATCTGTAATGCGAAAGAGCTCGAGATAATTGCAGTGTTTGTTTTGTTATCCCATTTTCCTTATATTTTTTATTGTATTGTTATTATGTAATACTAGGGATTGTTTTTCTTATAGTAGTGCTTTGTGTAGAGATATCAGTCACATAGATAGTGTTTGGAGTGGGAAAACACAGTGGCTGACCATGCTTGAAGTGTGAGGCATGGTGAACAAGTGGCTATAAGAAGGTAGTTTGCTGGGCACTGTAGAATATGCTCTTGTGGGATTGGAGAGTTACTGAGATTATGATATATACCATCTGTGTATTGCTGTTGTAGCCTATGCCAATTAATGCTTGAAATAACATCTTATTGCGAATGAAAAATGTGTTACTGTGACTAAAGACTGTGTTAGGTTTCTGGGGGGTGGTGTGTCATGAAGATAACAGAAAGGTATTCTGTTATGTTGTATTTCATTTATTTTGTTAAGTGTGTGTGTTAATGTGAAATGTTTTTCAATTTTGTGTATTATTATTTATGATTTATTTTTGCTATGGAATATTACTCCTGTGCAGATGAGCGATGTAAGAATGTGTGGACATTATTTTTTGATACTAATAGTTTATGGAGTGAATCAGTATATTTGTCGTTGTATATAATTGTTTACCTCATGTAAATGGCATTTTTCTTGAAGTCCAATATTTAGTTGGAACTGTGTGGGCAGAGCTTTAGAAATGTGTGTGATTGATCGCACTTTTCATGTTGTACTCTGTGGTTGTAAAGTTAGCCTGTGATTGTACACTGTACTGAGTGAGTTTTTGAAGTGAGTTTTTCATTACAATCTTTAAGCGATCAAGTTTTCAAATTTTGTAGGTTTTGACAAATGTTTGAACATTTGTCTTAAGGGGGGAGGAATGTAAAAGTGAAGATAATTCGGATACTTAACATTCGATATTTACGATTGACAGTTCACCACGTTTCGTCGTCCATCTTGTTGTTTTCACATTCGGAACCTAGCAACGTGACCGGAAGTGTTCCGAGTAGCTTTTGCGCGACTATTGCACGTGCAAAGTGCCGCGTTTCTGTCTATATAAAGCGGTGGTTTTGTATAGTTCGTCAGTCAGAAGTAAAGTCCTCATAAGACTGCCTGACTCACTCTCTCCTTCTTTCTAGGACTCGTTAGGTAATAATGTAGGGACAGCAATAATGTTTAGTGTTAGTGTTAGAAAGTAGTCTGTACATATGTCTATATAGAATTCCAACGTAGAGTCCGTCGTCTATGCTTATAGGAGTAGGCCTCGTAGCCGCTAGTATTAATGAACGGTGTTCTATAGTGTGAGTAAGGGTGTGAGATATGTTATCGTGTATTGTACTGATATTTCTTTACACTTGTTGTGTTTAATAAAAGATATTGAAGTTTATATCCTTGAGTCTATGTTCATTTGCCATACTTCATGTTCATCAATTTATAAGACCCCAATGGACCCAAGACCACCGAACCTGGGTGTTGGTTTTAAAGTGGAAAACCGCTCCTTTTACACAAGTAATGATTTGTCGGAAATGCTTTTGAAATGTTTTTATGCTTATACATTTTCGACGTATGATTGAATGTACATTTATATAAATGAATCCAATATATATATCAGTATTTCTTGGGTAGGACACATTTGCAATTATCAACACATCCAAACATATTGATCCATGTATGATTATTCTGGGATGTGATTTAGTTGTTTCAACAGTTATTTAAACCAATTTGGATTTCCAACTTATTTTTTTTAATCCTAGCATCACCAGCATAGGATTCAGTGTATTTTATTTTTAGCATACTGTATCTACAGTCGATCCTCGTTATCTCGAAATCGACGGAATAGTTGGGAAACTTCGAGTTATCCGAGTATTCGAGTTAAGCGAGTTCCTATGGTTGGCATAAAGCTTGGTAAAGTGTTTGGTGCAATATGAGGCTATATATGTTATTGATG